GAAGAATCCCAGGTTTAATGCAGAGCTGTCCCGGATCCGTGGAGCCTGGAGAGCTGCCAGGCAAGCTGGCAGGAAATCAGGCGGGCTTGCGATGGAAACCTGCCTGTGTTTCAGCGGAAGTTCATCCAAACAGATACGTTTCTGCGAAACATTTTGCTTACGACAAATCAGCATTCGCTGACAAAAACCTGTTCTGTTGGAAAGCTCCCAGCCAGTGTTTATTATGGCATCATTGTTCCTCTAATAAATAAATACAAGGAAAGTGGGTGTGTCAGAGCTACTGCTAACGAGCTACGTTACATATATTTCTGTATGTGATTCTTTATATTGGAAAAATCTTAAAAATGAGACCTTGGGTGTTTCAGTTTGGATTTGTTTTCCCAAGGAGGGCTAAAGGCTCAGCTGCTACTCTGTAATGTATACAAATGTATATAGATTTGTGAGATGCTGGGTGCGAATAGGGTGATCTTATTGCATCCATAATTTTTCCATCCTAAACAGCATTTTTCAAATATTACATATAGTTTTATATATCTCCCTGTTCCTCCCAAATCCATTACACAGAAATAAACACGGATTATTCCCTCCCCAGTACTCAGGTTCTGTAACAAGGGCATAACTCTCTCACTTTGAAATGATTAACTTGATCGTTCAGAGAAATGGGGGAGAAATGTGGAAAACACATACACGAGTTGTAGCAGCTGAGTAGCTAAGGGCATTTTTCTTTCTAAAAGGAATAAAAAGACAAAATGAGTGATATATATTTCTTCTTTCATAGTTTTGAATGACACTGGAAGCCTTGCATTTCAGCATCTCTTCCTAAGGAATATCCAGAAGGCTTGAGGATAAGGTCTGTGTGCAGTCAGGACTTTGTCCTACACACTTTTCATTTACCTGACTTCCAGGGCCAGACCCGGGAGGCTCTACCTCAGACAGCTGTGCAACAAATAGCAAAGTACCCCTTGAGACTAACCGAAAGTCAGGTTCTCATGGCTATATTTGTTTGCCATGTAGCTTCAGAAAAAAATAGCCCTCGGTTCCTACTGACATTTTCTTTCTCTGTCCCTCCGTTATGTGAATATAGCATACAAGATTAAGACGCTTTCAGCATGTAACTTCAAGTGTGTGAGAAGTCCCATTGATTTCAGCCAGCGACTTCCTATTGAGTCAGCAGCGTCCTGATGCCTGTGTGCGATTTCGAGACGGTGACTAATCGTGCTGCCGGGTAGGTATGGCCTGCAGGATGTCCTGCGGCCCCGGCCCCAGGCACCCGCCCTGGCGGCATCCTGGCTCTGTGCTGGGACCTGGCCGGCGTGACCACAAGCTGCTGCGTGCCCTGCTTTCATCTGGAGAGCAACACATGTGCCCAAACCTGGTGAGATGTGCAGTGCACGTTGTGAGCACTGCACCCAGGGTGACTGGGAGGATAGCTTGGATGGGCAGCTGGGGGGCAGCTTCGTGCTGGGTGCTACCCGTGTGCTTCAGCTGTTCGGTAGCTACCAGATCAGCACAGCATGGCTGCCACAACTTTTCTAATGAACCTCTTACAGCCTCTCAATAATGTGGCTATTTATAGGCTGGGTCTATGCTGAATAGATTGCAGAAGCTGCACAAAAGCTCATAGTGTTTTAGCAATGAAGCTGTGCAGAGACATCAGTGCAGTCTGACACCACTCGGTATGGTTACGTACAATTAAATATTATAATCTACTATGCCTGATTGCACTCACTGCTTAACTGAAAAGTTAATGGTATCTTATTGCACTTATGAAATTTTCTTAGAATTGAAAGCTGGTCTTGTGAAGTACACAAAATTTCAAGTCTTGCAGACTAAGAGCTAAGTCCTGCTTTTGTACCAGCATCAAATTATAGGTGTAGCATCGTTTAGCTTTAACAGAACACCCCCTGCAATCAGTGCAGAAACCGGTCATAGTCTGAAACAACCATTGTCTCCTCTTTTGCTTTCAAGTTGCTCTTTTTAGGCTTTAGTAAATGTACCAGGTCTTCTGCTCCCAGCATGTATCACAGGATGAAAATAATTATAAAAAGAATGATTAAAAAATGTTAGACAAGTGCTCTCATGAGGAAGAATTGCTGCTAGGAGCATTCAGTCCTTTTCACCACCCAAGTGTATTGCATCTTAAATGTTTCATTTTGAGAGATGTGAACAAGAAAGGCAGCGTGAAGCAGCAGAGCCCTTTGCATATGGCTCACCTGAATCTTTCTCAAAAGAAATCAGAGACAGGATTTTACTGCTTTGAACCTCCCAGACTTCTGTTCCTGTGACAGTTGTTCAGGAAGCCCCAGTAAACAGCAGACCACTGCAAACATGCTGTGCTTCTGAATGATTAATCTTACGACAGAACTGACGTTCAATACAGACACTGGCATGAGCACCACAGGCCTTTGGCTTCCATCACAGCGGCCAGAACAAGCTTCAAGTGAAATCCTGTGCCATGGAGACTAGTAGTTCTTGCTACTTTCCTTCTGTTCTAGTGTTTTTTCTCTTTAAAAGGAGCAGGGATTTCCTCCAGGGATTAGGAGGAGGAAAAAGCTTGAGACAGAGGTACTGTTTCATTACAATACAAAGCACAAAAGCATGAAAAAGATAGCTAATAGATGTCTTTTCTTCATCTCCTGGCAATTGCTTCCTCTTTAGCAGCTTTGAAGAGAAGCAGAGTTTCACCCTTTTATCCTGGTCTGTAAGGGCTCAAGCCATAAAAGTACTAACAGATCTAACTACTACTCAGTCACAGAATCCTTCATTTAGGTGGCATTGGTAGCCTCAGCTTTTCTTCCCAGCCCACCCCTGTCTCTGCAGGTGTTCACTGATGCCCACGGCTGTGATACATCCATGTGAAAAAGGTGTGACCCCCAGCCACCAGCAGACAGTATAACCAGTAATGCTGGAGCTTCTGAGGGATTATCTGGATGTTCCTGCACTGGTCTAGACTGTAGGTCTTGATCTAGTCAGCGTGTCTATTGAATTTGGCCTTGAACAAAATGTAACCTGGATCAAGACTTCTTAAAAATACACATATTCCCTTTTACCAGCGTCTTTCTTCACTGGTTGGAAATCTAAGCTCACCCACCTCATGTGAAAGGCCGTATTTCTGCTGGCTTTGGAGCAGAGGCCCAAACCCAGCTGCTTCACCACAGAACAGAGCTTTAATTCTGAGGCTGCTGGGCTCTCCAAGGTGAAGCTGATTCAGCAGCTTCCTGGGCAGCCATCCCATTTCACAGCCAGCACTCCTTAGGCAAGAGTAACTTTTCAAGGAGGTTAGGTTAGGCACATGAAGGTTAGGTTAGGTTAGGTTAGGTTAGGTTAGGTTAGGTTAGGTTAGGTTAGGTTAGGTTAGGTTAGGTTAGGTTAGGTTAGGAACATGGATCTAAACAAAGTCCTTACTTCGTTGGTCTTGTACGAGTAGCCTAGCAATTCCCATAGACCCCAGAATTAAATGATTAAACTATCAAACAGTAGGTCTTTCAACCTGCCACACCCAAGTGGTTTTGGTTTTTGCTTTTTTTTTTTTTGCTTTTTTTTGTTTTATTATTTTTTGCTTCTTAAGACAGGGAACATGAAAGGAGGCCGGGTAAAGAGCTCAATCTGATTGTGTGACTTTGTGGCAGGAAATGCATTAATGAAAATAAGCAATTTTTCTGCTTCAATTTCCAGTTACAGTAACACCCGTGGTACTTCATCTAGAACTGCTGACTCTCTTAGGTAAGAAATATTTTGGAAGGGGAGACACATTTTATCTTGTATAAGATTCCTCAATGCTCACCAATAAAATCCTTCAGCACTGTTGAATAAACAAGGGCCTGTTTTTTGTATTATTAGGACGCTTAAGTACAATAATAAGTTGTAAATATGTTCTATAACAGAGGTAATAGATGCAGCTTATCATTCACTGACTAGTTTAGAAAGTATATTTTTCTGCTGTATTTAAAATTTATGGTAAAATTGGTGAGGAGTGCACTCAGCATATCCTGTTAGCTGAGTCAATTGAAATTGCACCTGTTCTTGGATGCAAGTCATAACAAATGCAATCCATATACATTGTAAAGAAAAGGACTTGTCTGCACTTTTTCCAATTAACATCTGCCTTTTGGCAAGTCATTAACCTATTTTCTCACAAAGAAACGGCTTCAATTGTATTATGCATCTGAAGCGTGCAAAAGTCCCTGAGGGGGCACTCTGACAAAAACATACTGTTCCTGGATCCAATGTGAACATACATATTCATTAATTGTTTGGGGCAGAGAGTACAGAATTTCAGATTTTTACAAGTCTTACAGCGTAAACAGTTTACATAAAGCTATGTCCTTGGAAACACATTCTGATCCCAGCTACCCTTGTTCAGTGTTTTTTTGCTGTGATATGGCAATTAAAATAACTCAGCAACCCTGTAATAAGACTTCTAGGAAGGAAAAAAAAAAAAAAAAGAAGAAAAAAAAATTACCTTAAAAATAGTACAGCATATTTATTTATAAATAAAGATGGCAATTTGTATTTCTGGAATCCCTCATGCTACAGGGATTTACTCAGGCAATCCCAAAATGGCTAGACAAACTTAATCTACCCCAGTTTCTCTAGACAGATGATAAGTTTAATCAGAATTTAAGCCTACAGTTTGTTTCTCATGATTATGACAAGGAAACACTGAATTATTATCTTACAAGCATAAAAGCAATAAACAGCAAACCCCCAAAGATTGGGAGTTATTCAGTTACATTTGCCTCCAGGAACTAGTTTTCCAAAACACTTTCTCAAACCACCACCTCTAATTATACAGACATGCCAGGTGTCATGCATGCTGAGAGTTTCACTGTCAATAGACTACCTGATCAAATGACAAGAACATACCTTAATTTGGAAGTGTTATGCTAGTTGACCAGGTTCACAAACAACAGAGGAAAAAATTGCATTAAGTATTAAATGCTCTAGATAAGTAGGTACTGCAAAGGAAGAAGAATTAGTAACTGTAGCTAAGGCAAAGAGAAAGACATCAGCAGAGATTTTATTAAAAAATAAAGATTTTTTAAAAAAATATTTCTGAATATTGCTGATAAATAATCCTGAAAAGCTGAACAACAACAAGAAAGTATAGTCCATATATAAGTAGTACAAAGAAAACAAGAAATAAGCCCGAGTTTTTAATAGCTACATGGTTTTGTGTCCTCTAATGAAACTAAGAAAAGGCCAAGACCACAAGAGTATTTCCAAATGCAAAACACAAAGTACATCTGATCTAAAAGGCAGTATTTACATAAGTATGCATTATATAGCATTATAAAAAATTGCATAATCAAAGGTCAGGCTGTACACAATTGAATATGTAAGGCCATCTTTTCACACAAAAAATAAAAAACAAAAAATTAATCTGTGCTTAGGATGTTACATAGAAATAGTTATATCTGAGAAACTTCTACGAGGCTGTTTCTTCTCAATAAACAGCACTACTTAAGATTGAGCTGAAAATAAACAGCACTTGGTGGCAAAATTCAGGGCTTACTAATCAACTGAGGTGATTTCTGGCTACCCAAAGGCAATTACTATAAGAGAAAACGAAAAGTTATAAAAGAACATTTGACTGCTAGTTACTTTAGCTCCATCTGCAATGGCATTTGCACAGCACTCCTGTACTTAAGCTGAACTCTGTTGATGTTAATGAGGCTCAGCCCAAGAAATGGGCTTTATCTATATACAGTCAGTTGGAGAATTGGATTAAAATGCTCCCCCCATTTCAAGTGTCCTATTTTTCAACATACAAGATGGGAAGTTGCAGAAAGAGATGACTATCTACTTGTGATTATGGATATAGAAGAGATATTCTGCAATTGCCATTAAAAATAAATAGGGAGACATAAAGAAGCAGAGATGTTCTCTTTTAAAGGACAATATGACAATTGAAAATTTAGAAAATTTTAAATTGAAAATTTAGAAAGACAATTATGTCTTTCTAAAAACCACATTTTTATTACAAATAAAACCAAAATTCATTATACTTTTCAAACTGAATCACACGACATCTTTACAGATTTGTAACTTAATTTGTAATGCATTAAGCTATGGGGGGAATTCATAGCATGTGAAATTTGAGCACCTGTGGAAGTCCCTGGAGGATGAGGATATTTTATATTTCTGATATAAACTTTGCATCATTATGTGTTTGGTTCAGATATATTCCTCAGAAATGTACCTTCTAAATATAAAAACTGAATTCTGGTGGAAGTGCTCGACTGCATGTCTTGCAGCTGAATTCACACAGATCCCCTTATTGTTTCAAAGCTTAAGTGACTTCATTTTCATATTTTTAACTAAAAGTTATTACACTAAATCTTCTCACAATCATCACTAAAATATTTAGAATATGAGCAGTAACTGTTATGAGTTTTTGGTAAAATATTTGACAGTACGTAAGGGAAAAAGAAAACCTCTGGCATTTAAGCAGTCAGGGCTAATTAGACCGAATTTAATTTAGGTGCTAGAGTAATATTGCCTTGGTACAAAGAGTTTTATTTTCATAGCCCTTACCTGAGCTGAAAAACCTGCCTAGTGCACTTCCACAGTGATCACTGTTCATCTAAAAAGATATAGCTTGTTGTTTAGTTTTAGTTAAAGATTTTACTGGGTTAAAATAAGAATCATGTAACTTTCATTGGGAATGATTTTACAAAATATTAATTTCATCTGGGCTACACTTTATTAAATGTATAACCAGACTATCTGCTTGATACTAATGTTTAAAATGTCATACATATTTTTTCATTTTTTTTAGATCAATAGTTAGAAAAGGATTTTTTTTCCCAATTATAGTGAAATCCAATGAAGCAACATTTATTGTTTCCTTGTGAATATACAAAACATACTCATCAATACAGTTAATTTTCATCTTTTATTCTTCCTGTCTTCCCTGAAGTAAAATTTTTTGCTGATTTTCTAAGCATTCTTTCAGTTTATCTTCAGTCAAAGTCAGCCGTTGTTCCAGGATTGAAATTGTCTGCATGAAGAGGACAGTAGCAGTTTTTTTTTTTAATATTACTCACGCAGTATTTTTAATATTACACAAGCAGTATTATAGAAGTGTGCAACATAGTAACATAAGAAAAATAATTTTAACTCAACAAGAAAAATAGTCTAATGTGGCTGTGCCTTAGCTATTCCTCTATTTACAATCATATTTAAAAATGATGGATTTGTATCTACAAAGACTATCTAAAAGTTTTAAATTGTTTTTACAAAATATTTTCCCTGTGACTCTGTATATGTATGTATGTATAAATTACTCAGAAATACTACATGGAAGTTGCATCCATATTTCAATATAAAAACAGACATAAATGGTGGCCCCAAATGATGTCTTCCAAAAACCTAAAAAAACCCTTCTAAGATATCAAAAAAAGCATGAAAAATTATAAAAAGCATATAAACATAAATAAAAACATAAAAGCATATAAATACAAAAATTACAAAAGGCATTCTCCAAGAGACTATCTTCCTCAAGAAAGGTAGGTTCCTGAGTTTCTTTTCAATCCAACTTACTTCCCAAAGAATTTTCAATGATGACTTGACTCTCTACTTTCCAAAACTTATTACTTAGGTTAACATACATATTGCAGAAGAATGCAAAAAAATCTTAGCCGCTCCCCTTTAATGATTAATGTTAATATACTCTAGATTATAAAATAGTGTTTTAATATATAAATTGGCTTAATTTGGATTATTTAAAAAGAAGTATTAAGCATTTGCAAGCAAGTGACTCAGTCACTGACTGAGACTAATATTTGTGCTGTTTCACTGACACTTGGAATTATTCCACTGCATAGATTCCTACCTAAGCCAATACCTTGAGCACTGGGTTTGAAAAAGGATTTAACGGTGCATTGACAATTTACTTTGTTCATCCCCTGCTAATGCATGACTGTTCAAGCCGGAATCTGACAATGTCAACTCAACAACTGGCTTCTGGTAAATCCACACTAGGTCTTGCTATTGAAATATAGTGACTCGTTTCCTCCAGAGTTAAAAACACAACAATAATGTTTATGATTATGCAGCAGGAAGCTTTCACTTTAGGGAACACAATACATGCAATCAGTATCTGCTGAAGGGCAAAAAAAACCAAGAGTCATTTGACTATATAACTATCCAAATAACTCAATAGACTTTAATATTCTGACTTATGAGCATGGTTCCTGGATTTTATTTTTTTTTACCACTGACATTATCATTTTCCACTGGAAGTGTTTTCTGTTATTGCATACTTACTAGAGTCAAAACATCCAGCTGTTCCACAATGTTCTCCAAAGCATTACCCAGAGATGGGGAGATGTCTATTTGCTTGTCCACATTATGCATAGCTGATTCGCTCTCATCCTCTGACTTCCTCTTTGAACTTGTTGCCAAGACTGAAGCAGGGGGATACTGCAAATCTTCGTGGCTGACATCATCCTATAATACAGAAACACCATTTGAAGATTCAGTTGCCCTTGCTTTCATTTAATTAAAACCATACAAGAAAATAGGCAGAAAGATCTGTTTTTAATTTTTTAAAAAAATCTTTACACATGTATACACACACAAGGGTCTTCAGATTTGCTTCTTGTACCAGGTCCAATTCATAACACTTCAATTCCTTCTGACCTAAGAGGGAATTTCAGCCATGATGAATGAGGCAATAAGCATACAAAGTGTACTGAAAAATCTCAGCGGTCTTTATGAACAATTTCAACTTGAGCAAGTTTCAGGTACGTGACTGAGGAACTAGACGCTTTACTACTAGAACTTGAATTAAACTTCAAATAAATACTATTGGTGACTGGAGTTTTCTTTACAAAGATGGCTCTAGTTTACAAATTCATTCACAGCAGTCATATGGATGAAAAACCCTTATATGACCAACTTCATAGTATAAAACTTTTTTTTTTTTTAATGAGTTATCTTGCACTTTTATAATAATAAAAAATAAGTAGTTTTTAATAAGTAATTTTTAGTTGTTCACTCAGTTGCATTACTTTTTGAGAAACTGATTCCTTCAGGAAATAGGAGGAGAAAACAACATAGAGAAAAGACACACACAATGCCAAGTTAAGAGAGAAATAACTTTGATGTATAAACATTGCTTCAAGGTAAGTGAAAGAGCATGATCTTCCCAATCACTTCAGTTCTTATTTGTGCCTTGAAGTTCTTAAAAGCACTTTTGAGTCAGGATAGGTTAAATCATCACTAATTCACTATACGGTTCTTCACAACAACTTTACCTGATTTATTAATGTTTTTTTGTGATTTCTCTGAAAACTTCTTCTAGCTTTAGACAGTATAAAAATAAACCAAAACTGAAATAAACTTGAGGCAATCCAATTTTATTATCTGTAATTATAATTGCAATACCTGCAACCATTACAAAATACTTGGTTACAGTTTTACAGTTTCTCTGAAATGTCTTGACAGCTGATGAAAGTATCCATTAGCAGTGAAAAGAGGATGTTTTAATCTTTTCTGATGTATTTAAAATACACACTCTTTACAACGTACCCAAAATATTTATGTTGTAAAGCTGAATAGATTTTTCAAATGCAAGTCTTAAAACCAGTGTGAGCCATTAAAAAAACGTTCTTCTAATTCTTTATAATAATCTTGTAGAAGATAAACTGCTAGGCAGAATTAGTGGCAAACCTTTATAAGATTACCAACGCATGTTGATGAGTCACCGAGGCAGGGACAGGAGGGATTTAGAAACAAGTCAGACAATTCTCTGTCAAGAAAATTTTCTCTGTAGTAGATCCTGCCTATGAATCAGGTAGGATCACAGACTGATGTATGAAATATGATAATATTATGGTTTTAATATAAGTAATTCTAAATGACACCAATATTATCAGGAACTTATACCGCTGCGCTATCCACAATACTATTTCTGTATCTTCAGTGCCATCCTGCAGTAGCTACATGCTCTGTTCTCTGGACTCAACATGCTGATTCTCCAAAATCTTTTTTACCTGAGTGCTGGGGTTGTGCCACTTACATCAATGAGAGTGAGAACTGAGACAAGTTACATCCACCGTCTGTCTAGCAGGGCTTTTCTTTTTACTAGCAAGTCAAATTTAAAAAAATGCTGTGATTTAAAGTATTAAGATTTACAATTAGTTTAAATTAATGCAGAAGGAGAGCAAAACAATCTGAGGATATTAGACATTGACATGTTCTTCTAAAAACAGCTCTACTCTGAAATGTGTTTCTCAGGTTCTTTTCAAAAAAGCCAGATATACTTCAGACAGAAAATAGAGATTTCATTTAAGCTCCCACAAACTGATGACAAATTTTGCTATTAAAGCCAACCTAAATGGATTCTTCTAAGCCAAGAAGGAAAGTTGTCAATTCAGGTAAACAGGGCAAACACTAAGCCACTGAAAATCTCACCAAACATTCTTTCCTACAGTAAAACCAATCCAAAATTCAATGTACCAGACAAATAGGTTGTGAATAATGCTTTATAGCTCAGTAATTGCCACCAACATTGCCAAGTCACAGTACCGGCAAAACCTAATTGTAATTTAGTGAATTAGACAAGAAATTGTGATTCTTCTATTATATGAACTCAGAAGCATACGTGGACAAAGTGATATGGAAGTGCTTATATGAATAAAGCAAAGGCCTCAGCGTCTGTCAGGCCTAAAAGGATCAAATACAGATAAACAAATAATTGAACTTCCAAAATTAGTAGGAGAGAAAAGAAATAAAATGGCTTCAAATGTTCATCTTACTTAAGTTGTGACAAAATGGTTAATACTTTTATCATATTCTGGGAATTTGTAGAGATTTTTAAATGCTGGCAGGCATCAACTAAGCTGTTACATTCAGGAGGTGTCTGGTTGACACTTAAACCTTTTCTGTTAATCAAATTTATCCCCAGCTCAGTGAAGGGGACAGAGCTGCTGAAATCTAATGCAACACTCATGTCAAAACCTGGTTGTAGACTGGTGACGCTAGTCTCAATAACTTCCTTTACTTTTTGATACCTATCAGTTCATTTGGTATAATCTTTTTATATAAAAGTTTTTAAAGAACATAAAGAACATAAAGAACTATTCAACATTCTAATTTACTAAAATTGTTTCAAGAATTAGGTGTTCCCTTTCCTTCAAATTAGCCCCTTTCTAAAGTACTTTAAATACTACCAATTCATAAACAATAATTCCGTATATTGCCAGCAATGTTGTAAAAATGCCTCATAACTAAAAAAAAAATAGCCATTCTGGAAGACATCAGAGATGTAGCTTATTTTGAGGGAATAAATTTGAATAAGGCAACAATTTCAAATTGTTACTTCTGAGCAAACTAAAAAGAAAATTTAAATGTGTACTGCGTTTTCATCCACAGCCCGTTAGTAATAAAATAGTCACATTTGGGCGACTTCATGTGAGTTACAAACAAGGAGGAGAAGGAGCGGATTTAATTAATCAACAGGAAGTTATTACCATGACATTACCAAGCGGATGTTCAATAGAAAATTAAATTTAGCTTATAAATGATGTCATAAACAACAAACCATAATTGCTCATCTTTGTTTTCTGTCAAGCAAAATTGCCCAAAACTCTGTGGGTGGTACTTAATCAATTTGTGAAAAATCCTTACACATAACCCTATCACCTCTGCATAATCCCAAATGTTTTCCCATGAGACGTTCACAGATCAGACAGAAACAAACACTGTGTCCCGATCTCCCTTCACTTCTTGATGTGTAAGAATAGAATTTGAGTAAAATGCATCCATTTATCAAGATGCCTGAACTGTTCTATTTATAGAGAACCAAGTTCCCTAAAGGAAAAAATATGAAAAAATTCAAGTCTATGTCACTCAACTGAAAATCATTAGTCTTCAATCTTCTAAGAGCTTTGAATTCAGAAAATATACACAACTGCTTCCAAATGAATATCCTAATGATCTTATAATTAAGATGGGCTTATATGAAAAAGTGACATTGGTAAGCTTCCTAATGACTCACAACAATTTGGCATGGTATGCTTTTTCAAAATAATCCTTTAAATTTTGAACACATGGTACATTTGCCTACTAATACTAAAACATTTCTGATACTGCGATTAAAACAACTACAAACAATTAGTCATAAGTAGGGCATTAAGCTCAAACAGACCAACGAGCAAAGACAAAACAGTGTAGTCTCCCATCTTACCAGACCTTGACTTCCTGTGTTTTTTATTTTTTAAATCATGGAAAGTTTCTTAAGAGAAGTACTACACTATTGTACTAGATACTATTGTTATCACTGCTTTTTCCTCCATCTTGTGAACCCACCCTCAAACTAAAATGTTTCACTGTAGATATGCTAAATTCAACCATTTGGGGAATCTCTCTCTCTCTCTGTTGGTCATAATTATACACAGATAGTTTCTACTCTTTTGAAATTATTATTTTTCCCTTGAATAAATGATTCACATAAAATAGAGTTCTCTGATCTGTTAGGCTAACACTGCTTATGCTAAATTACAATCTGTTTTATCAGTTTCTGTTGCAGAAAACTTCCCTGTACTTTCAGCTGATGACAGTACTCTTCATTTCCTCTCTTCTCTCGCACGCACATGAATCAGCATTATGCATGGCAAAAAATTGCCATGTGTCAAAGTGCAGTTTTCTGCCTCTTGTTATCTGATAAAGTTGTTTCTGATATATTTTATTTGCAAACTTTCATTGAAGTTTTGCATTCAAGCGATAATATACAAACTATACAGTATGTCTTTAAATAGTTCAAGCAAACACTTTAGTTTGAGCAGAACACTTTCATAACAACTTAAAATGCAGAATTTCACATTTCATTCAGTCTTTCAGAGTTTCTTATACATCTTAGTCTTCTCTAGTTCTTAAAAGAGTGTCCAAGCTAAAAGAACCCAAACATTTGAATTGAAAATACTTATTGTAAATGCCTCTCATCCAGTCTGAGAAGGAAATATTCAGTCTCCTCTCTCCCACAAGTATTATCACGGTTGATAATATATACTTTAATGTAAAACCCAGTCATGATTGTCAGTGGTATCAGGATACAAACACACAGCCAGCATACCAAGCAACACTAGTCCTTAGCAAAACACACATTTTCACTGACAGCAGTTTCTTAGTTGTGCAAATAATGTAGTCATTTTGAAGCTAGCTGAATTTATAGAGGTCAAGAGGTCAATACAGTACAATAAAAGCTAACTGCTAAGTTGTTTATAAAAATACAAGTGCAAAATTAAGTGAAATCCTGATGCTGAAATCCTGATGCCCTTTTAGCTATGATCTGACTAATAAGATTTATTTTATATTTTCTTACAGGTATGTTAAATTTAGCATTGCTGTGATAGCATAAAATACTAAACATTTCTGTTCACAAGCACATCTGAATAGAGAGTTTTATGATAAGAAATGATATTGTACAAGTATTCGTTCAAATACTT